TCATGCGCTGAGAAGACCAGATATGGCTTAGCATGGCGAGAACGCTCCGAAAACCTGTAAATCTGATGCGAATTTTTGGCGGGACACTGCCTTTAAAAGTCTTCATCTCTAAATGTAAAGCTTCCATAATACCCGGTATCACTAGTTTCCGAAACGTTGGATTTCATAGTTTTCCGCTGTGTTTGTGTTCAAAATCAACTTTAGCCGGATTGGAAATGAATGTAACTATGCGAGCTGGTCTCGGCATTTCACTAGTGAATGGGAATCACGAAGAACTGATCTACGCACGATTCGAAGGCATCGTTTTGAGTGCAAAACGCCTCGAGGACACTTATCTGATGACAGGAAGCGTGGACAAACTTCAGGTTCTGCACATTTCCTTTATGTTTATATATTTAGCCGTTACGCTTGGCCTTTTTCTTATGGAACTTTTCACCAAAAAATGTTTTTTTTTTCAGATTGACAATCAGCTGCTTTACTCTGATCGGTGGCAAGTACTGTACTGTCAGCCTGAAGTAATGGGACTAGATGAGGAGGGTAGCGGAACATACATAAATGGAGATTTACCTCCTGGCGTAAGTTGTTTATTGCATTTCTTAGTCAGATCAGTTGATCAACTTAGCCGCGGTGTGCGTCATTTTTTTACGTTATTTCATGTTTCGTTGATTCATTGACGCAGGGACTGGACCACTGCGGACCACGCGCCGCAAGGTAAAACGTGCCCCAGTACAATTTTGCTATTGTAAAAGCGTGCTTCCGCAATGTTTCTTCCGCACCGCACGTGATCCGCAACGTTTGAGCAGTGCTTGCGGTCAACGAATCGACGATAGTTTCAAAATCACTCGAGGAATTTGGCAGAGATTCGGTATTTAGGTATGTGGAACTCCGCGACCTGCATTGAAGTTGGAAATGAATTGCACTCCTAAGAAACATTACGATGCTTTTGATGTTAGTTTTACAATTTCATATATCTTCTTGATTCGCTCACTTATAAACCCGCCGAATATGATTTGTTCGCAGCTGCGAAATCCTCATTGTAATGACAAAACAACGAGACATCTACCCCGATAACTACTCTACTTCTTATAGACGTATAGGCGATTCGTAGCACACAAAGACTGCGGACATG